GGCCCCCCCCCCCCCACTCCAAGCCCTCCCCTGCCATCAGCGCACTGAGTGCCCCCCCCGAGCGAGGGGCTGTGGGGGGCAGGTGGGGTTGGGGGGACCCTCTGGGGGTCTTTGCTCCTTGTTCTGATGCTGCACCTCTCTCCCCAGCACCCTGGACATCTTCCCCACGCTGGTGGCCCTGGCTGGGGCCGCGCTCCCCCCAAACAGGCGCTTCGACGGCCTGGACGTGTCCCCGGTTCTCTTCGGGTGGTCGGACGTGGGGCACAAGGTAAGGCAGAGCCACCCCCCCCCGGTGACACCCCCTCCTGACAGCAGGTCCCACCACCTCGGAGCTAAAGCAGTAAGTGGGGGCGGGAAGGCCCAGAGCTGGGGATGTGAAGGTCCCCAGGAGCATCGTCCCCAGGTCTGGAGGAGGGGGGGCGGCCGGAGAAGGCTGGGTGCTGCCCCCAGGCTTGGGCCACCGGGCAAAAAGGGCTTTGGGGTTAGCAAAGAGCTGTCTCAGCCAAGAGAAATGCTTCCTTCATAAACGTGGGATGAAAACACCTATGTGTGCAGCCTGGTGTGCCTTCTCCTGCACGGCAGGGCTGTCCCCGCTGTCCCGGGGGACCCCGTCCTGGGGGCGATGCTGGGGTTTGTCTGTCCCCAAGGTGACCAGCACATCATTCTCCTCTCCCACTGCAGAAGGTGTGCCAGGCTGGGAAACAAAAGCTCCCAGGGGCTCAGACCTGGTTGTACCCGCTGTGTCCATGGTGCCAGAGCGGGACACGACGGAGCCCTCCTCCTCCAGCGCCCGGGCTGGGGAACGTGCCCGTTCCTGGTGTTGCAGTGGGGCAGCCCGCCCCGTACCCTGCAGCTCTGCCCAGACAAAAGGAGCTGCTGACAGCTCCTTTAAGCCTAAAAATCACAGTTAGCAGAACAAGCAGTACGGCGATACATTTTTCTCGGAGTTGCACAAGATTTTTGCAGACCTAAAAGAAAAAGTTAAAAAAAAAAAAAAAAGAAAAGTGGCTTGAATAGCAGTCCCGCAGATAAAGCCTGATTCTGCTTTTCAAGTCCACCCTCCCGCGAGCACCTCGAGCCAGCTCCCAGCGGGGAGCCTGGAGTCGCTTTCTGCGTCCATCAGGGGTTTGGTATTTGCTTCGTATTTACGGAGCCCTCGCTGAACCGTGGGACGAAGCGGGGAGGCGGATGGGATGTGGCCAGCGTGACCGCGGTGCTCCTCGGGATTAACCCTCTGCTCCTGCGCCTGCGCCTCCAGGAGCGGGGCGGCATTTTGCTGGGGGCAATAGTTTGCTGGGAGTGATGGTTTGCTGGGAACCATGGTCTGCTGGGAATGATGGTTTGGTGGGAGTGATGGTTTGCTGGGCACCATGGTTAGCTGGGGGTGATGGTTAGCTGGGCACCATGGTTAGCTGGGCCTCAGGGTGCCGTGCAGGGGCACAGTCCTGTGCCTGCCATTCCCAGGTGTTTCAGACCAAGGAACCAGCCCTGAGCCAGCAGCAGACACCACCCCAGGCTCCTCCAGCATCACCCTGTGCTTTTCTTGGGGTGTTCTGCTGCTGGAGGGGGGATTAAACCCCGCAGGGCTGGGGGCTGGGGGCACAGCTGGGTTGTTCCTGCCCATCCCAGCAGTATGGGCAAGGTCCCCCCTCCACTTTGTTTTTTTTTTCTGTTAAATTAAAATGACAAAATCAAAGAGCAATAGAGGGGTTGCAGACCCGGGAAAGTTTCTTCAAAGGGCTCAGTTGAAACAAGCTCCTTAATTCTGCAGTAAATGAGACTAGATTTGCTCAGAGTGGGGTTTTAGGAGCCGGTTTGGGAAGGTGCTGGTTGCTGGGGAGGGAGGTCCGAGTCCCTTCCCACCCAGGTTCCTGTCCCACCTGCGCTGCTGAAGGTGGCACCGAGCGGCCAGGGGGTGTAGGCAAAGCTGGAAGCCCAAAATGGGTTCAATTCCTGGTTCCTTGGCTTCACGGGCCCTGGAATGTTTGGAGATGGAGCTTTGGAGCTCTTTTATTCTGACCGAGGAGTGTCAGCGTGAGGGGACTGTGTGGCAGGGGTTTCCTCCCCGCAGCAGGTTTGCACTGCGCCTCCTCTTCCACTGCACTCCCTGATTTTTTTTCCCCAGGATATGATTTTTTAGCCAAATTCCAGCAGGTGACTTTTTAAAAATTTGAATTTACCTTTTGCTGGAGGGCAGGAAAGGAAACGGAGAGCGTTTGGAAACCAGCCCTCACCTGGAGCCCCGGCGGGTCTGGGATGAGGTGCCAACAGCCACATCCGGAGCCGGCAGCGGGGGCTCCTCACCCCGGGGAGGGGGCACGGGGGGTGCCCGTCGGGGCTCGTGCCGGGACAGGGCTCCGCGCCGGGCACCTGCTAAGCCATTCCCCTCCCCATCAGCTGCGAAGGCTGTTACTAAACTTGGCACCGCAGCTGCCTCCAGCCCCGGCAGATGTTTCTAATTCTTAGCACAGTGGAAATTTCTTGAATCACTTTTAAACTCGATTCCCAGGGAGGAAACCTCGAGTGAGTCATCCCTCAGTGAAGCCATTGGCTCCGCGGCAGATATTATCTGACAGAGGAGCCCGCCGAACCGTCCAGCTCACTTGTCTTCTCGCTCCCGGGTGCCAAAGCGGCCGTTCCTGCGCGGATCAAGTGTCCTAAATACCGAAAAGGGAGAGAGACTCGACCCACCCTTCCCTCTTCCCTTCCTCTCACCCCCGTTCCCGGTGCCGGGGGGGCTGTTGTTAGGGCAGGGAGCGCTCGCACAGCGGGGTGAGTCAGCGGCGGGGACGGACGCGGGGTGATGTTCCAGCACCTCACCTCCCCGGGCAGGCTCCGCTCGCTGAGCTCAGCCGCTGGCCCCGGCACCCGGGTCGGCTCCCTTAGATGTCCCTACCGCTGGCCGAGCTGAGGACCGAGGGAGATGGGTGTCTCTGGCGGGGCAGGGGTGGGTGACACAGAGCGCCTGAGGCCATCCTGGCTCGGAACCGTTCTGCCCTGCTCGAAGCACCTCAGTGATCCCTTTCTTGCCGTAGAATTGCTCTGGGGAGGTAAATTCCGTGGGTCCTGCAGGCACAGGAGAGATGCTGGTGTTTCCCGGTGTCACCCCAGCCTTCAGCCAGCAAAGCTCAGTTGGTTGCTGAGTCCAGAGGCTAAATGGTGTCCTACAGGAGAGCTGGGGAGGGACCCCGGATCAGGGAGGGGAGCCCTAGGAGGAGGGAGAAGGGTCTGACACGGAAAGAGGGGAGGTTGAGGTGAGATCCCAGGAAGGAATTCTCTGCTGTGAGGGTGGTGAGAGCCTGGCCCAGGTTGCCCAGAGAAACTGTGGCTGCCCCATCCCTGGAGGGGTTCAAGGGCAGGTTGGAGGGGGCTTGGAGCAACCTGGGCTGGTGGGAGGTGTCCCTGCCCAGGGCAGGGGGTGGCACTCAGTAATCTTTAAGGTTCCTTCCAACCCAAACCATTCTGTGATTCTATGAGGTGGTCTCGCCTGGGGCAGGAACAGGTTTCACAGCAAGTTTTCTCTGCAATGGGCTGACGGGCACCTTTCTGTTCTTCCCTCAGGTTCTGCTGCACCCCAACAGTGGGGCAGCGGGGAAGGACGGGGAGATAGAGACGCTCCGACTGGCCCAGTACAAGGCGTTTTACACCACAGGTACCGTGTCCCTTGTAAGGATCGTAACGTCTGGGAAAAAACTTCTGGAATTCTTCATTCCCTGTAGATACAGGTGAAAACCAACGCAGGTTAAGTCAAGCAAGAGCAAACCCAGTGAGGTTTGTGCCTCCTTGTGCCCGTGCGAGGGGCTTTGCAGCCCGGGGCTGTTGGCATCAGGAGCGCTGGTCGAGCAGCAGGACCCCGGCTCCCAAAGCTGGGACACAGTGGGAGTGGGCCGTCACGGGTGGGTGAGGAACACAGAGGTGATCCTGGGCAGCCTGGAACTCCGGGGTTTTTCTCTCATTTCATTTCCTCCCTAGGAGGGGCGATGGCATGTGATGGGAGCATTGGGCCAGCAGAGCATCACCAACCACCCCTCATTTTCAATCTGGATCGGGATATCCAGGAGCAGGAGCCTTTGGACGTGGCATCTGGAGAGTACCAGGCCGTGCTCCCTGCCCTCAGCAGGGCTTACGCCCAGGCCCTGCAGGACATTGCCACAGACAACGTCTCGCTGGCAGATTACTCCAGAGACCCCTCGGCGACTCCCTGCTGCGACGCGCGGCACGTGGCCTGTCGCTGCCGGGCCCCCGGGGCTCCCGCTGCCGCCCCACACCCTCCCACCCAGAGGAGAGCCCCCCGCCTCTGTCTGTAGGCAAATAAGGCTCAGGCTGCTCCTTCCTCTGGTCTGGTTTGTGGTTCCTGCTGGCTCCAGGCTGGGGGTCGGCCACGGAGGAGAGGGAGGGAGGCTGCGGTGCCTGGGGGGGGGAGGTGTGGGTCTGGGTGAGCACACGGGGGGCCTGGGTGA